TGCAAATTAAACCTTGTCGGACTGGTTTTAGCCAGTCTGATAATGAACCAGCCCCATGTTTATAATCCTTTTGTCCTAATCCATCTAAACAGGGTTTGGTTTTGTTAGGACACAGCTTGGGTGCTCTCAGGCTTAAACATGTCCCAGGGCAGGATGGAAATCAAGCACAGGGTGGCTTTTTGATTAATTTGGATTAAAGCTGCTGCCCTGTGCTGTGCCTTTGTCCTTTTATTACACCCCAGGATCATCTCTCCAAAGCCAAGCTTTGGGATAAATCACAAGAAAGGGGCTGGTACAACCATCAGTGCTGGGGAAGCTTAAGGAGGCAGGGAAAATATTCCCAAATACACTGAAATTTAAGGGAAGAGGCCACCGCTTGTAAAGGAACTTTATTCTGATCAGACTTTTCTGTTAATAACTCAAAGGGAGCATTTTATCCCAGAAAACTGAGGACACCCCTGCTCTCAACTAAGGCTAAAGGTTGGACTTGATGATCTTGGTTCTATAATGATTTTAAGTTGTTGGAAAAGGCCAATCCCTCACCTGGGATTGGTGGTCTCTGCTACAATAATCTTGGATTAACTCTAGGCTGGAGCCAGACCTCAAACCACACGGATTGAGAACAAAACAAGGGAGGAAAGTGGATATTTAAGGCAAGATTTGAAGGGATTAAAGAGTGCAAGGGGCAGGTATGAAAGGAAAAATTGGTTTTTAACACAGCCTGGAGTGTTACATAAATCATAAATGACCAGCGAAAGGTGTAAAGGGAAAAAAAAAGTTCACTGGAGGTTTTACAAATGAAGGAAGAAACATGGATCACATCTATCTGTTGTTTGGATAACCACAAAGAAACTTCTTATCAAATCAAATAACTCAAATTTTATTTGTTATAAGCATATTAGGGAAAAGCTGCTTTAATTTTCCTGATACTCAGCTACAGAGAACTGAAGGTAGCAGAGGTGGGATGAAACCCCAGCTTTTAGGAGAGCATTAATTAAATATATTAAATATAATAAATTAATTAGTTTTAGGAGAGCCTTAAGGAGCAGGGAAAGGGTTTCTCTGGACTGGGGAGTTCCCCCTCAGCTTTACACATCACACTTGGGGTGTAAGTTTTGAAGGAGCTGAAATGGAAATGCCAAATATCCCCATTTATTCCTGAATAAATGGGCCAGAGAAGCTGATTAGGACTGGAAAGTCTGAATGAAATGAAGGAAAAATAAGATCTGATCATTTTTAACAACTAAAGGACAAGTTCAACAACTGTAAGTCCATTTTTAATAAAAATTAACTTTCATATTGTGTTTTAAATAAAAAGGCAACATTTTTTGGGGGGGGGTTACAGTTTTATTTGGGTTCCAACCTTCACTCCAAAGCAACTTTACAACTTAGAAGTTAAAATGAATATAACACAGTGACCAAGAAACACTTTTTACCACTTCCAAATGACACAAAATTCAGTACTTGGGAACTTTAATCACTTACATCCCCTAATTCAGAACCAGCAGCTCCAAATCCAGCCCCGAGTCTGTGCAGCCACAAACCAACACGAGCCCATAACACCCAAACATCATCTTCAGAATCTTTTCTGTCAGAGCTTGAACCCCATCATCTTGGAGGGCTTTTCCAACTTTAATAATCCAGGATTCTGTGATTCTAAACAGCCTGAAATGCTTAAAAAGCAAAAATATCAAACTGCCCTGTGAAAATATCCAAGTGTTTCAAGTGGGAAGCCCAAAGGCCTGGGCTCTGTTTGGATTAATGGACACAGGAAACCTTCGTGATCCTGCTGTCAAAGGAACTTGGAACTTCTGATCACTCCTTAAATTAATTTCCAGGGGGAAAAGGGAATAAATTAATATGGAATCCATCCAATTACAACAAAGTCTGAGCTCTCTCCAGCAGCACAGTTCCCTCCCAGCAGCTCTGGGCTCCTAAAACAACACTTGGAGCAGCAGAGTCAGCAGGCTGGGATGCCAAAGGCCTGGAAAAGCAGCATTCCCAGAGTTCTTACAGCTGGATGCTCAGGCACTTCTGACTTAAATGTCTTTTCCAACCTTAATGATTCCATAATTCTCAGTTTCCGTGGAATACTGATGGGAAGAGGTTTGAAACAAGGAGCTTTGAGAGGGTCAAACCTCAGGACTGTTCAGGGAAAAGCTCAGGCTCTTCTGATTTAAAGGTCTTTTCCAGCCTTAACAATTCCACGATTCTGAGTTTCCACTGAATATTTATGGAAAAAGGTTTGAAATTAGGAATTGTGACAACAAAACAATCTTTACAATAAAAATTCAAGGTGCACAGGCTTGGACCTGTGTGATTCCACCTCCTCTGCTCCTCCAGCCTCCTTCCCTAATCTCTGATCCCTGTCCTGAACCACAGAGTGAAACCTGCACAGGCACTGAAACAACCAAACCTGAACCATAACCAGGGATTTGGGAAGCAGAAAAATCAGGATATGAAAATACTAAGTTATGGTTCAGAACTCCAGGGATTTGCCCAGAACCTGGTCTGGGTTGAGCTGAGAGGAGCAGGAGGCTCAGAACTGTCCCTACACTCCCACAACTGCTTCAGATTTTTGTTTTAAACCCCAAAAGCCCTGATTGAGATCTTTTCCTTCACATGAAATACCAGAGAAATACTTAAAAAACCTTCTTTTTCAAACACTTCAGGACCTTCCTTCTCCTGCACTGTGCCAGGAAAAAAAAAAACAGGAAACAACTGTGACACTTGTTTAATTACAATCTGCTTGGATTTCCTTCTACTTTGGGCCCTTTTTAGTACAAAACCCATATATTTTAAATACATTCCATATATTTTCAATATATTCCACATATTTTCAGTATGGAAGTGTCCAAGGGCAGGTTGGACAGGGCTTGGAGCCCCGTGGAAGGTGTCCCTGCCCATGGAGGGGGTAGAACTGGATAGTTTTAAGGTGCTTCCAACCCAAACTATTTGGGATTAATTAGTTAATCAACCTAGATTTCAACACAAGGTGTTGCTGCTTCTCTTACACTGGAATTTGCACCCAGTGAGCTTTGTAAAGACAAATCCCACTGTGGCAGGGACAAGGCAAGGTGGGAAATTCTAAAACACAGTCTGTTTTGCTCCATCCTTCAAGAACTGTTCTTTATTTCAATAAGTTTTTATGAAGAAGTCCAGAATTTCGGACAGCAAATGCTTTGCACAAGGTGAAGAGGCTGCAGAGAGGCTTTAAAATACTGATTTATGTCACTTTATTCCAAAAGGAATTTCCCAGTTTCCACAGCAAAGAATTCTGGAACCCTGGATCTGTTCAGCTGCTCCAAACACAACCATCCCACACACCAGATTTGTTTTCACACAGAAGGATGTGGCACCTCAGGGAATAGCCAACAGCTTGCCCAGAGAGAATTACAGGGAATGAGAGGGGGTTGTGAAACAGGGTCCTGCTCATTGTGGCAAAATGGGGAAGGTGTAAAAGTTTTCTTAAGGATTTTCTTTGATGTTTGATCTTTTCAAGCCTAATAAACAAGAAGAGTTAATGAGTGAAACAGAAGCTCTAAGTGGTGTCCAGGTGTTAGAAAAACAAGTGACTTGTGGGTAGAATTGCCTTGTTAAGGTTTAAGGCTGGACACGTTTCAGTGATCTCAGACCTGGGGCAGGTTAACAAGTATGGGGAGAAGGATTTCCACTGATAGTGGACGCAGGGAATGCAGAATTTACAAATCACAAGGACATGGGGCAGAACCCTCAAGAGAAGGAAGAAACTAATAAACTCAACTAAACAACTGGGCTGGAACCGGCTCCAACAGGGTAAGAGGTGATTGTGATCGACCCAACAAACCCCCAGACCCAAAACAAGAGAAAGACCGAGCATGGCACTAATTCACATGAGAAATAAGAGAATCATTAACCAAAAGAAGACAGAATACTAGTTAATGAGAAAACCGTGTAACTTATAGGAATTGACCGGTAATTCCTTTGTTCGCTAAAACGGAATAACAGTGAAAAGTTCGGCTGGTTGGGGGGGGTGATTTGTGGGAACCTCCCCGAGCGCCCACAGAGCAAACAAAGTCCCCGTCCCAAACCAGGCTCCGTGTATGTGTCCGGGCAGCTCCGCACGTCACCCCCACGGTCCCTGGGAGCCTCCGCCCGGCCCGGCGGCCGCTGCTCACCTTGATCGTCCGGTCCATGTCGTGATCCTGCGACATCGTCCCGCGAGGGGCGAAACCGCCGGGGCCGCCTCAGGGCAGGCGCAGCCCCGCAGGTGCGCTGCAGCCGCCGCCGCTGTGCCTCATTCCCGGGCGCGCGGGGGCAGCGGGACCCCGCGGGCCCCGACAGCGGCCGCGGCCCCGGCAGGAGCCGCCCGGGCCCCGCGCGCGGACATCGCCGGCACCGCCGCGGTCAGCCCCGCCGGCCGCCAAGCCGCGCGCCGACGCGGACGCCGCCGCCGCGCCCCCCGCGGAAGGACACGGCTGGATCCCTGCGCCCGCCCCGCGCGCACCCCGCAATTTTCGGCGCCGCCGCCGCGCCGCTGGAGCGGTTTACAGGCGGTGTAGGGGCGGCTCTGAAAGAGCGCCAGAGCCAGCAAGGCCCCCCCGAGGCTTTCGAGAAAAGGGGCGCTTTTTTAATGACGTCATGAGATAGGTTAATATCCTCGCCCCGCCCCTCTCGCGGCATCCCGGGAAGTCTCGCGAGATCTCGGTGCGCCCGCGGGATTTGAGGGGATGGAGGCGCGTCGGGTCATGAGGGGCCGCGTGGCTCGACGTGTCGCGAGATCTCGTGGGACAGGCGGTGATCGAAGGTGAAGCTGCTCGTCGGGTCCCGAGATGAGAGATATCGCGAGATCTCAGCGCGCCTGCCACTCTGAGGGGCCGAGCAGCGCGAAGTCTCGCGAGATCGCTAGGCTCCGCTGCTGTGAGGGGAATGGAGGCTCCTCGGGTCGTGAGTGTCCGAGCGGCGCCAAGTCTCGCGAGATCTGAGCGCACCTGCTGGTCTGAGGAGCCGGGCGCAGCGTAGTCTCGCGAGATCTCTGGCAACGGCCGCCCGTGCTGCCCTGAGGGGGAACAGTGAGAAGGAGCCTCCGAACCTGCCCTGTGCCCTCCGTGTCCCCTCACAGTCCCCCTACCCCTCGTGACCACACCAGGGAGGTGTCTCCCAGCGCCCTCAGTGAGGCTCAGGCCCCCCTCACACCCTTCGGTGCGCAGGTAGCTCTGCCCGCCTTGCAGGTGTAGGAGTTCCTTTAAGGCAGCACAAGGACAGCGGGAAAGGCAGAAAGGCAGTGAAAGCCCTCAAAAACCGCTTAGTGAGGCCGGGATTTCACAAAGGTAGGGTTGGCTGCACTGAGACAGGAATGTTTATTGAGAGTGGATACAAAGAGCAAGAAGGAACAAGAAAACACTTGCACCTCACGGGTTTCACTCCCTGCTCAGGTACACACCGAGTTCAGTCTGCTCACACAAGAGGGACATACATATATGTATATATGGCAAGGGTATAGAGCCAGCTCTGTAAGCCAACAAAGAATTGTTACTTTATATAAACCCTCCTAGACTAAACAAGCAGTTCAATGATTTCTTGGGGGAAAAAAGAAGCATATCTATCAGATACAGATGGAAAGATCACACCCATCTCATGTGGGTGATTGTACCCAAAATAACCCATCTCGTGTTAGTGCTCAACTCACTGTATTTGGTATTTTAAAAAGATAAAGCCAAGTAATGTTTTTTTTTTAACAAAAGCTCCTTCAAACACCTTCTAAAAAAAATCTCAATGCGGAGTTACGTTATTTTTGCACCTAAATTTTGTGTGTTTAGAGGTTTTGCTGCTTTTTGTCTCATGAAGCTGCAGAAGTGTTTCCAAATTCCTGGAGAGGCTGCTGTCCTTTCCTTTAGGAGTTTTTCTGTGGAATTTTGATTGTCACCTAGAAGAAAAAAAGAAGAAAAAGTCACAAGTGATTTTTTCCTTGAGACTGTTCAGGGGTGGTCACTGGAGAGGCAGCAGGAGAGAGCCAGAGGACAGGGAGAGGTCTGGAGGCTGGGAAGGCTCAGGGAGAGGGGGAGTCTCCAGGTCTGGGTCACAGTTCTGCTCCAATTTGCTCTCAAGCACCAGAAGGAAGAATTGCAGCTCTCAGCCCAGCCCACACCAACAGGCACAGGTACAACTTGGAGCGCCAGCAGAGGATTGGGCACAGGGATACTCACATTTTTCACCTCCACATAGGCATCCAGCCCATATTCCCCCAGCTCTCGCCCGTTCCCAGAGGCCTTGTAGCCCCCAAAGGGGGCCTGGGCACCAAACACATTGTAGCAGTTGATCCTGGAATGGAAACCAAGGGTTAAACACCTGGAGCTCAGGAATTCTTCATGGAAGAGCCCTTTGGCAGCACATGGACAGCTGATCTGTTTGCAACAGAGGAAGGGAGGAGTATCTCTGCAGGATTTGTGTATTTGCCAGTTCTCTCAGACAACAGAATTAATTCTGAAATCTTATCACACAGAACATCATGGAATCTGTTACCATCTCTCATTGTCCCAGTGCTGCCCTCGCCCCCCTCAGAGCTCACGTACCAGAAGCACCCGCTCGTTCCCTCAGTACCAATTAAAACAAAGTAAAAAATAAAGACAGTGAGATCCTGGATCTCCAAAACCTTGTGCTAGAGCAGGAAACTGGTGTTGTAGTGCTGGTTTTGGCACAGGCTCAGGACAGAGCAGAACATCCTCTGCAGCAGCCACATCCCTGCCCAGGGATCCCATCACTGCTGGCACTCAGAGCCTGCAGCACTGCATTGCTTCTGCCCCATCCCATTCCTTAATTCACAGTGGGAGGATGGAAACTTAATATAAATCATAGAATCATGGAATGGTTTGGGTTGGGAGGGACCTTAAAGCTCATCCAAATCTACTTGCTGCCATGGGCAGGGACACCTTCCACTATCCCAGGTTGCTCCAGGCCCCATCCAACCTGGCCTTGGACACTCCGAGGGATGGGGCAGCCACAGCTTCTCTGGGAATTCCATCCCAGCCCGTCACCACCCTCACAGGGAAGAATTCCTTCCCAGTATCCCATCTAACCCTGCCCTCTGGCAGTGGGAAGCCATTCCCCCTTCTCCTGTCCCTGCAGGCCCTTGTCCAAAGTCCCTCTCCAGCTCTCTCGGAGCCCCTTTAGGCACTGGAAGGGGCTCTCAGGTCTCCCTGGAGCCTTCTTCTCTCCAGGCTAAACAATCCCACCTCTCTCAGCCTGGCTCCAGAGCAGAGGGGCTCCAGACTAAATATACTTCCAACCTAAATATATATTTATGTATTATTTATATATATAAAAAAATTTACCAACAGTTACCATCACAGCTGAAGTCTGACAGGACATTCAGTGAAGTACATGTAAAATTGGATCCAAAAGAGGGACAGGCTATCAAAGAATGAGCCCAGGGAGCCCTGGCAGCACACAGGGAAGCTCCCAGCAGCTCTGGGAGGAGGCAGAGGGAGCTCACCAGACTGTGCCAGCCCGCAGGCTCTGGGACACATAGTTGGCCTTGTCCAGGTCCCTGGTGAACACGGCAGCTGCCAGCCCATACTTGGAATCATTTGCTCTCTCAATGACCTCCTCGATGGTTTTGAACTTCAGGATCTGCATGACTGGCCCAAAGATCTGCAACATCCAAACAGAGCAGGTGGAAATCTCTGTGGAGGTAGATAAGCAGACACCTCCTGACTGCAGCCTCAATCTTTCTGGGTCTGTGCACAGCACCTACATTCTGCTTTTTATCCTACAGGTCCAGACCTTTCATATGGCAAATGAGGAAAATCAGGCACCTTTGGAGGGAAATAACAAATACTGGTTATTTTCCTTCCACATTTGTTGCCTCAGGTACATTCAATCTCCCTCTGGACAAGTCCAAAGTATGAATCATTACCAATCTAACAATTTGCTTTGTGTCAATACTTGTATTTGACTAGAAACACGTGTTCCTGATCTCAACATTTAAACCAAACCAAACAAACATGAAAAAATACTTTACCAACATCAAAGACTTAGAAACTCGGGGTCATGTGGGTGATGTGGGAGCTGTGTATGGGTGTAAGAAGTCACACAAGACACGAAATTCAAATATCACTTCCCCTATTCCGCAGGCCCCAGGATGTAATCGGGAGGGAAGATAATTCTAGGAAGAGTTTCACAGCTCATGAACACCCAGTGCCTGTAAACCTGTGGGGTTTTTGCATCAGAGGGGGCAAAGTGACCGCGAGTGAGAAGGTGAGGGCCAGGGAGGTGCTGCAGGACTCACCTCCTCCCTGGCAATGGTCATGTTGTCCTGCACGTTCCCAAAGACCGTGGGCTGGATGAAGTAGCCCCTGTCGGCAGCGGCGTTGCCACCACACAGCAGTTTGGCTCCCTCACGCTTCCCAGAGCTGATGTAACCCAGGATCTTCTTGAACTGCTCTTCATCCACCTGTGAGCCATGAGGACACACATCAGCTCCACCTCCACTGGGGGGAAAGTAGATTCTGCTCCCACCTGCTGTGCTCCAGCAATTCCCAATCACAACAGAGTGCCCAGCCAGCTTCAAAGGGAGCATTTTTAAATGCCAGCGTCAAGTGGAGGTTGTGGAATCATCAGAATGGTTAATTAACCTTTCCCCCTGCACAAGCAAGGAGATCATGGGACAGTTCAAAGGAGGTTAATCAAGAGACTGAAGGATAATTCCATTCTAATCTAGTGACACACTATGGCTCAGGATTGGGACTATTCCATGAGGTAACAGCTGAGGGCATTTCCTGCTCTTACCTGAGGCCCCTGCTCAGTTTTAAAGTCGAAGGGGTTTCCGACCACCCTGGCCTTGGCCTTCTCAACACTCCTCTCCACAAACTCATTGTAAATGTCCTCCTGGACGTACGTGCGGGACCCGGCACAGCAGCACTGCCCTTGGTTGAAGAACAGGGCGAAGTGGGCTTGATCCACTGCCCAGTCCACTAAGAGTGGGGAGAGGAGAGAAAACAAATCAGCAAACAAACCCAACCAAAGTCAGAAGATGACTTCTTTAGAACAATTATCACAGAGACTGATGGGGGTACAACGTCCTGTCAGTTGGCAGCGTTTTCCATGCTTTGGTGTGGCAGAAGTTACATACATATTTCCTTCATATGAGGGTCTATTAAGGCACCCCATACTAGACAAAAATACCTAATCTGAGGCAGATTACAGCCCTAATTTGAATTTGTCAGGTATTAAGGACAAATTTTTTTAGATCCAGAAGAATTTCCTCCCTCACTGCCATATAAAAGCACATTTCTTGGTTCATCAGGACCAAAAATGAGACAGTATGCAAGGGAGGAGGGAACCAGGGCTTCTTAAGTGTAGGGAAGAGTGGTGTGCTCCAAGAGAAACAGAAATTAAACCAAAAATGGAGCAAAGATCAGGGGAAGATACTGAAACAACAGGTTGTTGACAACTGAACTTCACAGCACTGGGAAAAAAAATTGGGACTGGAGCAGTGCTGATACTCTGGGTGAGACCAGCCCAGGGGAGTCAGGGCTGGACAGCAGAGGTTTCCTTTCCTTTCCCCTCCAGCTCTGCCTGCAGAAAGTCAAGGTAAAAGGCACAGATCAAACTTTACACAGCAGGGACTCACTGTCTGCATCGGACATGATGATATTGGGGCTCTTCCCTCCAAGCTCCAGGGTCACCCTCTTCAGGTTACTCTCTGCTGCAGCTTTCTGGATCAGGTGCCCAACCTGCAGGAGAGCAGAGCAGGGGCTGGAATTAACTCCTCCATCAGCAAAGCCTGGCAGGGCACTGGGTTTACACCTCAGTCAGCACTTCAGTAATAATCCCCTCATTGTCAGGGCTGTAAGGCTGCCCAGTTTCACCTCCAGTAAGAAGCAGCTTAAGGGAAACAATGGGAAATATTCTAAAGAACAAAATAAGAATAAGAGTCTTATGTCATGCAAAAAGAAATGTCACACCCTGGGATCAGCTGTGGTTTTTAAAATGAGATGTAGAAGGCAAAGCACCTCCAGTATTTTATACAGAAAAGGCAAACACCTCCAGTGTTTTATACAGCAACGGTGTTCCAGCAGCAAGATATTCCCTGCATCCCAAGGGCTGGAAGGTTGAGGTGCTCCCTTACCTCTGTGGAGCCAGTGAAAGCCACTTTATCAATGTCCATGTGGGAGGAGATGGCAGCCCCTGCCGTGGGCCCATAGCCAGGGATGATGTTCACCACTCCTGGTGGGAATCCAGCCTGACAATTCCCAGGAGACAGCAATGTTATTCCTCTTACAAATCAAGGATTTCACCTCCACCCCTCTGTTAGTGACCCTCAGTCAGCCTCCCACCAGGAACAGAGCATTTCCACTTCACTTTCACTTTGGGAAATTAAAATTGGTTTGGGGTTTTAATGCTCAGTTTGCAATGACCAGGACAATTCTCCCCACCCACATCCCAAGCAGTTTGGATCCATATATACACACACATATATATATATGTTCACTTTCTAATCACCCTGGAGCTCATTATTTAACTGAACCTCAAAGAGTCCTTCCCTAATCTACATACAGATTTATAAGGACAAAAGGGGTTGTTTTTTTTTGCTGAATCAATGCTAAGAGACCCAAGACAATCCAGCCTCTCTGCAGAGCAGCCCCTCCCTGTTCCTGTCACATCCCAGTGTGGGTGGATCTCTCCCCACTCCAGCAGGGGATGGAAGCCTGGCCTTGGCACTCACCTCTTTGATCAGACTGGCCACGTAGAGGCCACTCAGGGGGGTTTGCTCTGCCACCTTCATCACCACCACGTTCCCAGTGGCCAGGGCAGGCCCCAGTTTCCAGGCTTGCATCAACAGTGGGAAGTTCCACTGAAAAACAAGGAGGGATTTGCTGGTCTGAACTGGAAAGTTTCTGATTATTCAGTAGGTACCCAGTGAGCTTCATTCAAATCAGCACCTGTGGAAGCAGTCCTGGATCTTCCCAGAGCTGCTCTTCAATCTTTGCCTCCTTTTCAAGCACTGCAGGAAAACTGTACTCCAAAGTGTGAGCTGTAAAACCCCAGCTTTTTTTGAGGAATAATTTTTACCATAGCCATTAAATGTTCTTTTGAGGCATTTTGAAACAGAGCCTGTTTGTAATGACCAGGCAGCACATGCAGACCAAGGAGGTGTTTATGTGCAGCTCTTGCTCAATGCAAGTATGAAGAACATGCAAATACAGCACACAAAAATCAGACCCTGGCTGTCCCACAGAGAGGTAACACTATCCATGGCTCATTGTACAAATGTGTTTGCTGATACTGAAACCACCTTGATACTGAAATAACATCACACACAGAAAGCTGATTTTTGCCCTCGAGCTCTATTGCCTCATCACATGGAATTTTGGGTTTGATTCTAGGTAGTAGTTTAAACTTAATTGTGGTTCTGAGCTAGGTAACTGCTATAAAGGGGGTTAAATCCTTTTTTAAATTTTTTTTTAGGCAGCAGATACAAAGTAAATGTTACTCAGAGCCCATGAAATCAACTCCCAGAGCCAAGGAAGAGCCCTCCCAGCTGGTGCAAGCAGAGCTTTGTTTACCACAGAGAGGAAGCAGTGGTGCAGCAACAGATAGTAACTTTGTAACACTGAATTCTTGAAATGCTGCAGGAACTGCTGTTACATTTTACTTACTGGGATTATCTGTCCACAAACTCCCACTGGCTCATGTCTGGTGTAGCAGAAGAAGTCTCCGTCTAATGGGATGGTTTTCCCATGGAATTTATCTGACCAGCCTGCACAGTATCTGGAGACAATAATGTTTTGGTCACTGAATTTAAAACAACCAGTCATTACAGAATAACAAGTATCCTGTCAACAGAAAACAAGAGCAATTTCCTCCAGCTATTTGCTTCCTTCCCATTTTCAGTCACTTCCTAAAACACACCCCGATGCAAATATTTCCCAAAAAGGGGATGTTAAGGGTGGCCAGTAAACGCAAATATTTGTGTCTTCCACTTTTGCCAGCACTTTGCACAACATAAATTCTGCCATTCCTGTGCTGTTAACGGATCACGACCATTAGTGTGAGACCTGTGTATAACATGAGACAATGTATAGTTAACAAACCTTTGGAAAGCCACAGGAATTACGGCAAAAGGTAAACCCAAGGTGTCAGACACTCTGCTATGGGCCAGATGAAACCACCAGTCAGCTCCAGACCCCACAGCCCCTGAACGGGAGGGACCTGGTCCTACCCCTGCAGAGGTTTGTTTGCCACGGGCCAGCTGTGGCTGTCACCTCATACCCACCTGAGACACTTGACCACCATGTCCAGATCCACCAGGTAGGAGATGGCGTAGGGTTTGCCGTTGTCCAGAGTCTCCAGAGCCTGCGAAAGACAACAGCGGGTGAGGGGGGAAACTCAAGTGTACAGTTTGACTCGGTTTGTAATTTGCAGTCTGGATCTGTCCTGCATGTTGGCCTTTTGCTTCCAGCTTCCCAAAAGTACCTCTCCACCCTTTGCAGCCCTGTCCCAGCCTGAGCTGTGGGTGAAGCCCCTGGGACACCCGATGGACACCAACTCTCGTGGGCAGAGCTGGGTCACGGAGCACAACACTCACCGCCAGGTAGGCCCGGTCCCGCTCAATCAGGTCGGCGAGGCGGTGCAGCAGCTTCCCCCGCTGGGAAGCATCCATCCTCCTCCAGGGAGAGCCCAGCTGGAACGCTGCCTTGGCTGCCTTCACCGCCTTGTCCACATCTGCCTGCAGAGGAGGCCAGGAAGAGGGTGAGAAAGGAATAACCAGCCCACACTCTCTCTCTCTCAAAATCCACTCTCCAGAAGAAAACAACTCCTAGCCAGAGTGGCTGCTTGTGCCAGGCTTTCTGGGGACAAGAACCTGCAGCTTTGGCAGCTGCCTCACTGCAAGACACCATCAGCACATGGGCCACAGCCCCTGGGTTTGCCCTGGGACCACCAGCCCGGGCAGCACTGCAGCAGCACAGCCTCGCACAAACACTGCACTGGAGCCCACACAGCTTTCCCAGCCAGTCTGTATCCATGGGGAAGAGGGAACAGGATTGGTAGTGCAGCAGAGGGTGCAACAGCTGTGCAGCCACCACCTCCACCCTCACTCACACTGTTAGTTCAACTACAGGGAGTGCAAACATCATCAAGTTATTTCTGCAGTGTCACCTGCTGAGTTAATATTTGCATCGTAGAACCAGGCATGGAAAAAGCTCTGGAAGTGTGCTTTTGACACTCTTCAGGATTCAGTCTAGAGGAGTTTTTCCTTGATCGGAGATCTCCATCATTTTGTCCTGTCAGGCACTAATTGGTTTCTGGTTGGTTCTCTGTCCTGGCTTGCTGGAATGGTCTCGCCAGGACAAGCCAGGCTGCCACGGAGAACAAACAACAAAGGGTTTCCCTCACTCACCCCTCCCTTGGGGAACTCAAACAAGTTTCCAGACTGTAGGAAGAACCCAAAATTGCTGGGAAACACCATCTTAGCTCTACCACAAACTCTTAGCAGGGCCTTGCGTAAGGCAGGGGATGATTGTGTGACTATTCCCCACCAGTTCTTTTTTCAATTTTTTAATTTCCTAGGGCTGGGATTGGTCTCCCACTGCAGCAGAAAGGGGCTGTGAGGGGAATCCTGACCTTCTATGTCCTCTCTCACTGTGACTCTGTGTCACACTGCCAGCACAGCACCCACAGGACCACAGAGGTGTCTGCCTTCATCCCTGCCCATCCCAGCAACCTCTGCCCAGGACTGCTCCCAAACCTCCCAACTCTGGCTCTGCTGCACACCACATCTGTTCCTCTCTGCCCTTCCCAGTCCCGGCTTGGTGCTGGAAAGGGCAAATCCAGGTTCTGTTGAGAGCAGCAGTCAAGGAAGAACACAAGCAGCACTTGATGAGGTATTTGCATACAGAGCCCTTGCAGAGCTGCCCAGGTGAGAGGGGAGGTGGTGCCTTCCTCTGCAACCCCCCTGGACCTGCTCACACAGAAAACAAACCCGTCTCACCCAAACCACACTCACCTTATCACCCTCAGCCACCTGGCAGATGACTTCCCCCGTGGCTGGGTTGATGGTGGGGAAGGTTTTCTTGCTGACAGCATCGTGCCATTCGTTATTTATGAAAATCTGCAAAGGAAAAGCCAAGCAGAGCTAAGGCTTCGAGTCAGAGCCCAGTGAAATCTGGGGGAGCTTTGTTTGATGGCAGCTGAGGAGGCTTTAATTAAAAGGGCTTAACTTGACTTGTGTGGGGTCCAAACCTGCACCAATATGAAGGAGATATTTTAGCCTAAAAGCACACAACAGAAGACACAGCCTCGAGCTAATCAAAGAATTCACAGCTCAGCAAACAGCATGAGAATTGGAAGCAGTTCCCATCTTGGGAAAACCTTGCAACACCTGGAAGCCTGGCTGGAGGTGTGCAGGGATACTGGGAAACTCAGGAGACTGAGCAGTGGGAAAATGCTTTAGACACAGACATACAGTTATTCGATTTTGTACAGAGCACTAGAGTTTTTGCAGCATTTCTTACAGTCTTAAGGGTCTTTTCCAACTTAAATGATTCTATTATTTCCCAGATTAACTGATTTTAGGCTCCCACGCACTGTTCTGAAACAGAACCAGGTGCCAACAACAGCTTTTCACCAATTCTTTCTTTCTTTCTTTCAAAGGGTGAATTTGTTTTCCCAGGTCCAAAACAGGAGCGCGAGTGCAAAGATCGTGGTGCTCGCCCAGAACTCGCCGAGCATTCGGCCAACCACCGCCAGCCTGGCCACAGCCACCGGGGAGGAGTGGAATTCCTTGGGAGAGGAATGCTGCCTTCCCCAGCACCCCGCACAGGTGATCCCACAGCGTTTGCTCTGGAACAAGGGTCTGATCTCTGCAGACAACCAGCACCCAGCCAGGCACCTTCCCCTCCTCATTCCCATTCCCAGAGTTTCCTCCTTTTCCCGATGCTGAGCCCACCGGGGGATGGGGACAGAGCCCGATGGTGGCGGGACCCACACTCTGAGCCCCACAGGGCACCCAGGGAGCTTTTCCAGTGGGATTTTCCCGCAGCACAAGGTTTCGGGCCCAAATCTCCGGGGGCTCCAGCGCTCCCAGCGTTCCACCGGGATGTCCCAGCCCCGCACGCGGACAGGGCAGCCCCGGACCCGGCGGCCCAGCCCGGCTGAGCCGGGACCAGCGCGGCCCCAGCACGGCCCTACCTTGTTGAAGGCGATGTCGGGGCGCGGGTTGGGCGCCGGGATGGGGGAGGCGGCGGCGGCCGAGAAGGGCGCCCGGAGCTGGGCCGGGCAGAGCCGGGAGCTGCGCACCAGCGCCCGCAACATGCTGAGCTGAGCCGAGCTGAGCTGGGCTGGGCCGGGCCGGGCCCCGCTCCTCGGGGCGGCCCCGCTCCGCCCCGCCCCGCCCACCTCGGCACGGCTCGGCCCACGGGGCTGGGTCCCGCACGGCTCGGCTCGGTGCTGCCTAGAACTGACTTGGCGTGACTTGGTTCGGATGGAATCGTCTCGATCCAGTTCGGTGCGGGCAGCGCAGTTTGGCTCAGCTCGGCTCAGCACGGTCCCGTTTGGATCAGCTTAGCGTGGCTCAGCAGGACTCAGCTGGGCTCAGCTGGGCTCAGCACCGTTCGGGTCAGTTCAGCCCAGCTCAGTTCAGTTCAAATGAGGCTTGGTTTGGTGCACCGGGGATGCCTCATCAGCGTCCAGCAGCCACACTGTCCCTGCCACTATCCCTGCCCAGGGAACTTAGTGCAGGAAACAATTAGGAAAAATGCAGAGAAAAAACCCAAAAGCATCTCCCTTGTGCTGGTTACTTTTGTGGGAAAGTGCTGCGATGAGGGAAAAGCTGGGGACCTGGCCCGTGGATGTGCCACCACTACCACGCACAAGGGAATCCAAAAGAGAAGCTCCTGTGTGTCTGGCAGTGGGACAAAACCACTCAAGTGCTTTCACAACAGGGACATTACTCAGTGCATACAAAGGAGAGGCTTTGTAAAATCACTCCCAACAGTGGCTCAAGGCCTTTTTTTCTTGTTTGCTTAAGATGCCTTGTGCAACTTCAGGCTCCCAAGTGCAGGGAACGGGGGTGTGCTCACGTTATCATCACCATCACTAAGGAAGCCACAGACCAAAAACATCAAGAGTTTTTAACCTCTCAAAGAAACCTGTGGTATTACCCTGTGTCTGACTGCACTTTTTTGGCTTCTTCAGTGAGGGGTCTCTGAAAGGTCACAGGGATGGCTCTGGTTTATAAAAGGTGCCACAAAAATTGCGGGATATGTCAGTTCAGATATAGTTTCCCCCGGTGTCCTGGAAGACCTAGGGTGCTGAAAGTCTTGCTGGAGGTTCCTGCATCTGTGGTTCTCCAGGCATTTCCCTCCCTGCTGTGCAGGGAGGAACCACAGAGCCCAGAGACGCAAAATGCCTGCCCAAGGTTATCCAGCAGGACTCAGATTAGGCTGTGTGTATCCTGGATCAGCTGAAAAGAAATCCTCTTGGGCAGGATCTCCTCTCTCATCCCTGTCCCCCTGTATCCCCTGAAGGGTGATCGATTCCCTTCACCACTCCAGACAGCAGGTCGTGGACAGCCCTTTAGGAGATGGCACTTGCAAGGACGACTTGTTCCAACACAGTCTCCATGCTGTTACAGACCTGTACTGTTAAACCACTGTGGGAGATGCCAGACAGACCTGTTTTACCTGCAGAGATGTGCCTGTGTCTCCCAGAGGGAGCAGGTCAGGCTGTGTATCCACAGGGCACGTCACAGAGCTGAGCTCCAGCTCAGGGTAAGCCCCCATGTGTGTCCTGCTGATCCCGTGGTGGAAAATGGATGACATTGAGCGCTAGCCCTGTGTTAATGCTCCTCTTGAGCCCGTTTTCTTCCCTGGGGCTTAGCAGACAGACCCAGCAGCACTAACCCACCTCGATGGCAGACCCAGCTCTGAGCCCTCCAGGGGCTGCGATTGAGCCTGAAAGATGAGACGGTGGGAGGTGCAGAAGCCAAGTGCCTGCTCAGAAACCATCCCAAGTGCCTGAGCTGGGCAGATCCAGGCTCAGATACAGGCTCCCTCCCTCTTGCACAGCAGAGCCAAGTGCCTGAGGTTGAGGTGGAATTTCACCCCAGAGCCTGGGAGAGTCCAAAGCTCAGGTTACCAGCTTCCCTAAACTCCACGACCCTGGTGTTGGGCAGCCAGCATGGCCACCCCAGGGCTCCTGGAAGTGCCCCTTGTGTCCCTGAGAGCAGGGATGTGGTCCCCACCCATGGCAGGTGGATGTGGCCTTGTGAAAGTGGGCTGTGAGGCTGTGCCCATGCTGGAGGAGCTGGAGAATCCAAAGAACTGTGCCCATCGCTTTAATATTGAACTAATACCACACATAAAGAACCTGGAATTACCATGATTGTTCCCACAGTTCTCCCCTTGCTCTGACCTCCCTGAAGTACTGAAATCACCCATTGATCTAGACTGCATCTTCCATGATCCCTGAAGAAACCCAGAGAGACCCACTGCAGTCACGGGACAATGGAGTCCTCCAGTTCCAGGGGCCAGGCACTGTCTCAGCTCCAAAGTCTCCCCTGAATCCAGAGTCCTTGAGGTCATTCCTGACCAACTCTCCCTGCTGCGGGACTGACGCTCTGGAGCCTCATGGTCCAAGGATGATTTTGCCCCATATTGAGCTGGGTAATAAAGGCACTGAGCACAGATAACAACAAACAGCACTGGAATTGGGAAGCTCACAGGCTGCCCTTAGCACAAGGGCCTCTCCTGTGCCAGAGTGGATGGTTTAGTTTTCCATCCGAGGCTCCAAAGGACTGGGACCCTCACGGGACCCTCAGCCAGATGCGGAGCTCAGGTCCAAGGGAAGCACCAGGCTGGGATCTGCACTGTGGAGATGTTCTGCTCCAGAGACCTGTGGGAGAGTGAGATCAGAGCCCAGATGGGCACAGAAAGGGCTGGAGGACCAGGGCAGGATGGCAGGGAGTGCCCTGGGAACACAGTGCTGGGGAAACATCCTCCTGGGAGCCCCATAGGACAAATCACCCCTCATGCTCACAGGCCCCATGCTGCAGTGGGGTGGAGGAGGCCCTAGGAGGGAGGGGAGGTCCCTGTGTTGTTTTTTTTGAGTCAAGGAAGGCTCAAGCGTTAGGTGTCTGCTCACCTGGCTGCCCTGATCCACAGCCTGTACAGCCACCAGAGCCTCTGCTTTGGTCCTGGCACGCTCTGCCTGGGGGAAGAGTATTATTATTATTATTATTATTATTAAGACACATTAGGTGGTCTGGTGACCCTGATGTCCCTCTGATAGCCAGTCTGAGGGAGAAACTGAACTCCTCTGGACAGGATCTCCCCGGAGAACTGTGGGGACAGGCAACCTTTGGGACCAGCAGGCAAGGTCTGCTGGCTCCTGGTGTGGGATGGGGCAGGATCAGCTGAGATCCTGCCCTGTTCAGCCAGGAGTGCCTCAGCCAAGGGCTGCAAACTCCCAGGAATAAACCCGTCCCAGCAGTGCCAGCTGGCACAGAGCAGCCTTGTCCGTGCCCTTGGCCCTTGCCCAGCCCAGGAGGACTGTGGCAATTCCAGGCCAGGAATATTTGGCTGTTTAACCCTTCTCTGCATTATCTTTCTGCTGCAGGCAGCAAGACTCCTCCCCTGGCTTTCACAACAGACTTCCACAGCAAAGGTTGGCAGTGCAGGGACGATGCCAAGGGAAAGAGCAGTGGGATGGATGGGGAGATGGCAGGGATGAGGGGGCTCCGTGGTCCCACACACAAGGAGCAGTGTCTCCACAAGCCCCAGGCATGGAGTAGAGAGAGTGTGACTGTTCTGATGTTTGGCAAAAATGAGTGTTTCTAAGAAGGGTGAGGAGATCTGCTCATCCCGGCACTCCCAAATTCTCCAGAACTGCTGCTTCCCTGCCCTTCCCACCTTCCCAGCAGATCAGCTGCTAAGCACCCTGAAATGCTGGGGTTTGCTGGTTTCTGCCAGAGCACAAGGAAATGCTTTGGAAGGGCAGAACAACAGATGGGATATGTTTTTGGCAGCTAAAAGGCAGTTAAGTAACCCACTAGAATTTGATAAAGCCACTAGAATAGTTTAGAGTATAATCTCAGTGGCAGCCCAAGGGTGGGGATGTTTGCTTTCATTCACACTGAATGAGAGTTGTGGAGGTACAAGCAGCTCCCTGGCCTTCTGAGGGACCTCTCAAGGAAGCACCAGAGGGACACTATGAAGGGAATTAGCTCACTCTTTCCCATAGAGAGTCAGCAGCCGAGGCCTCCCTGATCAGGGACAGGGAATGAGCAGCCATCTCCTCCCTGGACTGGCAGGTTGGAAAGCCCAAGCCCAGCCAAGCTCTGGACACACCATCAGCACTGATGGCAGGACTTGGTGGAGCAGCACCAGTAATTACAGCTGGGCTGGCATTAATCTGCTCCCCTTGGAAGGGAGTTCCAGCTTCTGAAATCACTGTTTCCCAGGATATGAACTCTGTCACAGCCATGGGAAGCCAGCCCCCTTCCTCCAAGCCACTGGATTCTGTGAGTGCCAAATGTCTGATGTGATCAGGAGAGCAAGGGCAGAGGCCACGATCCCCACCCTGGGGCAGGTGCAGCAGAGCAGCTCCAGGGGGGAAGATCTCACCTGCAGTTCTGGCAGAGCACGTGGAGTCCATCTGGGCTGGGAACTTAGAAAGCCCCACTGTATTTTCCAGCTTGAAGTGAAGATCCTGGGCCATCCCCAACAGGCTGATGGGAGGAATGACCAGGGGAACCTTGGGCACAGGACGTGCCCAGGTGCTGTAACTCCTGCTAGGAAATGGCCCTCGCCCGGCCCAGGTGCTGGAATGTCGTGCGAGCAGCTTTGTGGGGGGGAGGCTCTCAAACACACGGAATCCTTCCTTTATGGCAAACTCCCAAGCCAGCTCAGCCACAAACTCTGCATCCTGAGGGCTGCTGTCACCTGGGGCTGGGCTCCCTGGGGACGAGAGAGCAAGACTTGTTTTAAAGAGCCATTTCTTACGTAGTCACATCCCAAACAGCACCACGTGCCCTCGTCTGGGCCAGCCCACAAAACCCTCTCAAAGGGATGTGAAAATAACATCCCGTTTTTCTCTGCTGAGGGCTCCAAGGCCAGAACTGATGTGTGCAGATGAACAGCACGAGAGTTCCCACCACCTCCCTGTTCCCGAGCCCTTGGAGGAGGCTGGTGCTGAGTTTGAAGGTCTGAGAGCTCCACCTGTAGGACACGGCTCTGGGCTCTCAACTGTGAAAGAGGAGACCTCACAGCAACCTCTGATCCACACAAACAGGAGCAGACTGTGCTGGAGCAGGGAGGCAGCCCTGTGCTTTGCAGGACACTATTCCTATTCCTCTGGAACACACATCACTGGATGGCTGCTTCCCGGCCGCTCATCAGAGAAACAAGATCTTTCACTCTGAGCCCTCATTTCCCACAAGAGCTCTCTTCTGGAAGCACGAGAGTGCCAGACATGCCACACTTTGCTGTAGCACTTGGAATTTCAGAGTTCTCGGGATTCCCAGCCCGGAGTGCCCAAACCCTGCTGGTCTGACCTCCCTCGCTCAGAGAGGGAGCTCTCCCCAGAGCTGTGTTGTGTCTGTGCCCTGTGCAGGGCAGAGCTGCCCTGGCTGGGCTCCTCACCTGCCGCACAGCGCTGGTGCCGCCCCTGCAGCGCCACGGCCAGGCGGAAAAAGGCAAAGGCCATGTAGAAATTCCAGTTCTCCGGGAGCTCCACTCCCATGTGGCCGCAGTACATCTGGGAATACTCCTCTGCCGTGGGAACTCCCAGCTGCCTCAAATCACATTTCCTCAAGCCTGGAAGGTGTGAAGGGGTGACAGTGAGTCAGCTGACAGTGAGGAGCTCACAGCTCCCTAGGGATGCCATGAGACCTGTAGCAGAGCCAGGCAGATTCCATGGAGGCACCTGCACCCATCCAGGACCTGCACTGGGGCTGGCTCCATACAGAACTCTGGGGTTGGACACCAGCCCGTGCAGGTGAAGTGCACACAGGGCAGTTCTCTTGGTGAGGGTGAGACTGTGAAAGCCGTGACTGACAGAGATTCCTCCTCAATGATGGAAGAATTTTCCTCTCAGTTTAACCCTACATTACTCCTTTTAACAAGTGTATAATTGTGGACAAACTGTTCCTGGTGTGGTTCGCAGCTTTCCCGCCCAAAAAAGTTGCCCAGCTTCAGAGCTGAAGTGAGAGGGCAAGCAATGCAAACCCAGAGCCCTTTGCAGTGAGCCCAGGTGCCAGCTGAGCTCCTGGGGCACAGCTAATCTGTTCTGAGCTCTGTTCCTCTCTGTATCACACTGGCTTTGCCCCTCTCTGTACCTCTCCGAGCACTAAAGTGAGGTGGCAGGAAATAGGCCATGCAGCTATTCGCCAAATCAGAGAAGGGATCTCCTAGAGCTGCAAACTTCCAGCCAAGGACAGCAAGGACTTCTGGCCTGTCTGGATGAAAGACCAGGTGGTCCATCCTGTATCAGAGGGAAAAAAAGATCAGAAAAGTCTCCAGAGGGGGAAAAAAATCCCAATGCTCAGCAGCAGTAGGTGCTTTCCAGTGCTCTTCACTCTCTTCAAAAATTGCCAAGTCCTTTGGGAGGCTGCACAAGTGGAACATTAAATTTCTACAAGCAGAGGACGGAGGTTACTCAGTAGTGAACTCCCTGGTTAATGATGAAATGAACTGTGCTTTGGAGAATGAAACCAAGTTAGTCAGAGCCTCAGACCATCAGCAGATGTTACAGGACAGGCTAATCATAAACTGAAGCACACAAGTTACTGTCCAGGGGATGCTCTGATCACTTTAAAGGCACACAGCCACCACAGACCCTGCTCTGCCATGGGCTGTAGATTCTGCACAGCCCTCACCAGTCTGAGCCCCAAGAGAGGGCAGGACTTCCCTAGGGAGCAGCCATGGTGGGCAGCCACCCTTCCAGGGGCAGAGAGCTCCTGCAGCCTTGAGGGAAGGAGCCTTGGGCCAGACCTGGCACACGCCTCCATTGCAGCCCTACAGCGCTGGCAGGACCCAGCCAGGGGCTGGCAGCACAGAGGCATCACTCAGCATCCCTCCCCTCTGTCCCAGCCACCCCACTCCATGACTGCACCTGCAGCACTGGCAGGATTTGCCACCCAAACTCTTTCAGCACCAAATGCCATTAGCAAGATGCACCAGGGCTGATTTCTGGGTATTGCAGAAACAGCTGATGATCTTCCAGTGTTACACCAGTGTTTGCAGCAGTTGGGTGAAGGGAATGCTGGGGAATGCTGAACCTGACCCAAGCCCAGCTTTTGGACTGCTCTGAAGCTGTTTGTGTGTCACTTTACACTCCCTGTCCCTCTCTCCTGCCTGGGATGTGCTCCAGGGCAGTACCTGAAATCACCATGTACCAGTGTCGTCTTCTGAGACTCTGGAAAATGCAGAGGCAGCCACTGGATGAGTCTCTCCATCGCTGGGATAATGTGAGTTTCCACAGCTCGGTACTGCTTTGTCCAGGTCTCAACTTGCTGCTGAATGTAATTACCTGGAACAGGGAAAAGGGACTGGCACAAAGAGGCTTCAAAAGGGATGCAGAAAAAGTCCAACAGTCAAGCAGAACTCAGTACAGCACCCTGAGTTTAACTGCAATTTCCAGGGGTCTTGTAAATTGTTAATTGGGCACTGGATTTAATATTCTGGTGGAAATAATCTGATCCTGGACAAATCTGATCTCCACCAGATCCGGGAAGCTGAGCTGGCTCTGCAGAGGCACTGGAGGAGCTGAGGAGGTTTGGTCAGAGATGGCAGCAAACAAATTCCTCCCACAAATAAGTTACTCCATAGTGCAGCTTGTGTTCATGGCAGGAAGCTCTGGGAACTCCTCACAGGAAACACCGACTGGAGGATCTAAACAGCTCTCCAAACCCTCCCACCACACCTGGAGATGCAGACACTGGGCTGCCCATCTTCCCTTTCCCCACTGCCCATCCAGCCTATCCCTTGAAATGCTGACACACAGGAGGAGATGGAGGATCCCTGGCCTCTCACCGTGCTCCCCGAGGTCCTGCAGCCTGGCTGCCCTGAGATCCACGCCGTGGATCCTGGTGAGGATGTGGCTCATGGCGCGGTACCGGGCCTGGCGCTGGTGGGGCGGCAGCGCCGGCAGGGACACGTCGCGGTGGACACGGCCAGGGCAGAGCTCCATCACGTAGAAAGGTGAGCCAAGGGTGCTGGGGAAGCAAGGGGGGGACTGATGGGACTGAGTTCATCCTGCTACTGCCACCCCTCAAAGCTCACCCACCCCTTGAACGTGGACAGGGGAAGAGCAGCCTCAGCAGCACCTGAGCACTCACCTGAGCCCCACCCGGGCTGGTGTGTGGTGGCACAGAGCTGTGCCATGATCAGCGCTGGTCCCTCCAGCCCCTGGAAGCTGAGCTTGGAGGCTCCAGCAGCAGCCCTTTCCCTGCCTCCCTGCAGTGGGTGTGGAGCTGGGCTGTCAGGCTGCGCACAAACACCAGGAATGCTGGACACACATTTAACTGCAGTGCAGAGACTGCTCCTGCAGCCAGCAGAGATCTGAGCTGCCTGCAGGCTATGAGGGGTGTCCTGGTCACAGATTTGCTGCTGTCATGGCTGTCTGAAGTCTGGCAGTTTGAAAAAACCCCTCTTCATTGCAAACCTGAGCACACTGAGTCAGTAGGAAGCCCTACAACATTGTTTTATAACTGCTTTTCAGAGGGAGCATTTTGATTAATTGCTAAAACAGGACACACCTAAACCAAGCCAAATAAAAGTGTTTCTGTCCTTTGAACCTCTAGAGGCTCCTCCAGCCCCAGACATGGCAAATGCTAACTATACCAGTGCACTCTGTGAGCTCTGGCTCCTTCTCTCCTCTCCTCATGTTTGGGGGAATTTGGGTGCAGTTGTCAAGCACAGAGCGAAAGCTGGGATCAGGAACATGATCCCAGGGCCAGAATTACCTGCTGTCCTCGCAGAGAGCAAGTACAGTGGGAACAGGAACACCAGCCTCAGAGAGAGCCTTCAGGAGCCTGCCAGGTGAGTCAGAGAGCTGGGTCAGCACAGGGAGGCAGGAGGGAATCAATACTGGAACACATCCTTGTAGGCACACACACATCAGAGTCCTGTGCTCAGTGTTAAATACACTACAATAACACGGTTGGGGTGGGTGAAAGAAGAGCACCCAAGCCTTCATATGGGCCACAGTCCTGGGATCTGTCCAACACTCTGGAAAACAAGGGGAGATCACAAATGATCCCCCCTAAAAGTCCTGCAGCTCTGTTGCTGAGCACACCTTGCAGCAGGACCCCTCCCATGTGAGGCATGGCTGCCTCTCACCTGTATTCCCTTGGGACAGCAGGGCCTGAGGGACTGGGGCTGTCAGGAGGCTCCTTCTCCTTCTTCAGCACCAGCAAACGATCCCCAAACTTGACCAAAAAGCTCCGGCTGGACTCTCCATGGTCAAACTGCCTTAACTCCAGAGGGCCTGAGAGTTGGGAGCAGAGGGTCAGCACTTCTCCGGGTTTTACAGCCCCTTCCTGTACCTGGGTCTGAGATCCCACTCTGTGTCCCAAACCCCTGGGAGTAGCTCATAGATGGCTTACAGGACAAGAATATTCTTGGCATCTCTTTGGCAACTTGTGCTCAACCCCCCCCCCAAATGAGGAGGTCCTAAAATGCTGTTTCCCATTTCTGGGAAACAGTGATGGATCACTGAAAGCTGGATGCCTGTACTGTTTGAAGATTAAGAGCCTTTCATTAATATTACTTTTCAATCCATCTGTCGTATGATGGAAAAAGCCAATGGCTCCAGAATATCCAGGCTTTCCAACTGAAGGGCCAAACCCACTGTGATACCTGTTGGGTGGGCACCCAAAACATTTTCAAGGTACTTTTGCAGTTGATCCTTTGGGATTTCCATGCCTGGTCCCACTGAGCGAGTATAGGGGACAAACCCTCGCAAAGGAAATCCCAGATGGGTTTCCAGCTCTTTGAGTGCTGCCTCCGGATCATCGACCTGAAAGCAGGAGGGAGAGAGAAACACTGGTGGAGGATAAAATTTCCTGGGAAAGAAAGAGCCCTGCACAGTTGTGACGCATTTATCTGTGACTCCAATGGCACTGATCCACTGACAGCAATTCATGGGTCATTCCCTGATTCACTGACACACAGGAATTCACATATCATTCCCTGCCAACATGGAGCTTCCTGCCTTGGTCTCTGTCTTGGACATGTACCTGTGATGGTGGCATAGGCACTGTGAGCCTGGGATAAGACCTGGAATTCCCTGTGTGCAGTCCAGGGGAGCAGAGTTCATTCTTCCCACCAGTCCCACTCTTGTCCTTCCCCCAGTGGTCCCCCCACCGAAGTAAAACCCTCTGTGCTCACTGTCTCCAAAGCCTGGGGGCAACCTGTCAGTCCCAGCTGACACATCCCTGAGGCCTCAGAGCTTCCAGGAATTCATTACATAGAGCTTATTTTCTCCCATCAGGTGGATGTGGTTGGCTCAGCCGTAGGGTTGGGGCTGGTTCTCCCATAGGGAACTGAGGAACAGAAAGGAGAAGCGACTTCTCCAAGGTTCCACTGGCTGTAGGGTTTGGAGCTGGGAATGAAACAGAGCAGTGCAGACTCTGCCAGTAATGCCTACTTTAACCCCACCACATCCTGCAGGAATAAGGACAGGACGGAACAAAAGGCTTGGCAAGATGAGTCAGGCACTGCCCCTGAAAATATGGAGCCGTTGAAGCCAAACACTTCTGGACTCCAAATCCATCCCCAAATCCCGCCCTGGATGAGTTGCTTTGTACCTTCACTGTTTTCATGCCAAGCTGGGCTGCTGCCTCCAGGTTGTGGCTGCTGCTGTCAAGGACAATGGATTCCTGGGGCTGGACACCCAAGCGCTCCAGGCACAGCCTGTAAATCCTGGGATTTGGCCAGTGAATTCCTTCCTGATGGGATTCAACCACCTACAGCAACACCAAATGGATTATGGATGAGCCTGCTGGGACCACAGACAGCTGTGCAGTGTTGGGAATGGAGATGGGAGGGTGGGAAATGGAAATGGAGGTGGGTGGGTGGGAAAGAGACTGACAGTCTAATTAACATGAGGGATAAAGGACACGGAACGAGGGCCTGCAGCTGGATGGGACGTGATTCCAGTGACTGTGTGGGTGCCAACTGCCTTGGCTGTGGCTCTTCAGCTCAAATCAGCTGAACAGGATCAGCCAGTCCTTGGATGGAAGATATCCAACGAGATGTCCCCATGTGGGAGACTCACTGGGTATCCCAGGCCAATTGCTAAATGCTGTCCAAGGAAGCCTTGGATGGCAGCACCTTCCAGCTCTGGAAAAGTGTCCTGACCACTGCACTCACCAACCACCCCAAACCAACCCCGACAGCAGCTGAAGTGTTGACCACAACCATCCACCCAAATCCGGATCAAAAAAGTGTTGAGTCAGTCTCTGAACCCTCATGACCATGAGCAATCCAAGCACTGTTTCCTCCCTGCTTTGATAACACTCCAGGAATAAATATTAATCCACTGGATGGATATAAAGCCAACAGTAATGGAAATCCACATTCAATTATTTTTTCCCCACTAATTGCTGTTGCCTGCTGTTCCAAAGCACCACACACATGTGGGCTGTGATGTGGAGAGGTTATTGAAGTGCTTTGAAACACCCTGTGGTGACAATCACACAGACATCTCACCAGAGCATCACCCACTGCACCAGTGTCACCAGGAACACACAGAAAGCTGAGCCAATAATGGCATAATGTTGACAAGATGACTTTAAACAGTCCCAGGTTTTAAATGCATTAATATGACTCTTCCTTGCATATTTTGTTGTCTCAATCAAGGTTATAAAACAAGCTTTAAACTCCTGAAATTCAAAGATTTGAGCGGGGCACACAAAAAAAGCAAATTTTCTGTCATGCTGAGCCAAGTCCTCGTGTGCAAATGATGCCACTGGAACCAGCCTTGAGGTTCACAGAGAATCTTCTGTGTCATCTCTGCAAAGGTGAGGTGTGTTGGGAAGGAGGGCTCTGCTGGGAGAGGGGTCTGTGCTGGGAGAGGGGTCTCTTCCTGCTCCTCAGCTCACACAGATTGGCATGTTGGGGTACTGGGGTTTTTTGTAGTGTAGGGGATGTTTTGCAATTCTTTGAAGAGTCCTTACTCTTTCAAAGTTTTTTTGTTTAAAGCAGGCAGGGGCACTGGGTAATAACATTTATTTTTGTATGCTGTTCCAGCTTCCAAGTCCTGTATTGAAATCACTGCCTGTGCCTGTTACACAGAGACTGTGGTTGTGTGGGCACTCTGATTTTCCAGAGTCACTCAGCCCCTCTCCAGGGCCCAGTCCCTCCAATGAATGATGCCAGGAAAGGTTTTCCCAGGCTCTTACACTGCTCTCTATCTGCCTACACCTGCTGCTGGTGCTGCTCACTTGGTACCTGCATGGAAAGAATTCCAGTTTGAGACTGAGGAGCAGAGCCACATTTAGGATCCAGCAGAGCCACATTCAGGATCCATCCAGCCTTACCACGTCGAAGTGCCGTCGATCCAGGGCCAGGAACCTCCCTCCCTTCCCCAGGGATGAGCTGTTGCTGAGCAGAGCTGTCTTAAGCCCTTCTGCTCGGACACACTGAGCTGCTTCTGCCATTGTGGGGAGCTGTTTTATCATCTCAGCCCGGATTAAGTCCCAGAGAAAAGAGTCCACTGGAACACGGACATCTGCCTAAGAAACCAGAGAAACCCCAGGAATGATAATTAGCCATAAATGGTTTTTAAGCAGGGATGAAAATAAAAGTGGTTGGGTGGGTAGACTGCCTGATCACCATATCTTGCTGTCCTACTTCCTCTGGCAGCAGGAGGCAGGCAGGGGATATCCCAGCTACATGGCTTTGCCCAAATAAACAAGTGTTCTCACATTACTGATTCTACAGAGGCAGCAGAGGAGATACAGGACTGATTTTGGGAAAGAGAAATGCACTGGGACTGTGCCTGCCATGGGATCAAGGCAGGGTAGAGACAAACAGTGACTGGGGAGGAACCTGCAGTTTACACTGAGCTGTTTCAAAAGGACGTTATTCCAAGAGGATTCTTGCTCTGTGTCCCTGGGGATGTGGTGGAGGAGCTTCTACTGATCTGAGAATCCTCCCTGGAGACTACGGTCTCCATCCCTCCTGTCCATGTATGAACTGACAGCCAAAGCCTCCCAGCTGCTTTCTGACTCTGAGTTCTCACCTGGGCTGATCCAAGAGGTGTCTTGAAATCAGAAAGTTACGAAAGAAGCTGATGGAAATTAAAGGAAATTTATCTGCCTGCCCTGCTCAGGTATCAGGGTGATGGTGGCAGTCAAAATCTGCCCTGCTTAGACAGCAAGGCTTCCTAGATTGGAAAATCCAGACCTTTCCAGCACAGGATTTCTCTTCCAAGCTCCTCCTTCCTCACTGAACCACCACAGCATTCTGTTTCCATGCAGCCAGGAAGCACAAGGAGAGGAGGAGGGGGGATTGGCTTACAATCTCAAAGCACTGCTGTCCCAATTCCTGCAGGAACTCCACAGCTGTCAGCTCTCCTCTGGAATACCTCCGGGAGGGACTGTTCTCCCCTCCAGACAGCAGGGCTTGCTGTATGGTGCCAGCTGGAATACAATTCTGGGCCTCCCAGTCTACAGAGTGAAAAGTGAAAAAGCCAGGGAAGAGCATGTAATGGCATCTTCAGAACCGGGAAATCAGCTTGGAACCCTCTGAGGTGGATCCATGGCCCATGAGGATGGATGTGCTGGACTGGGGTGATGGACCCAGCACACAGGGAAGGGTTTGGGCATTCCAAGAACTGCAGCACCTCATCCCTGGTTTGGTGTGGTATCTTTGGAGGGTTCCTAAAGGTGCTCAAGGACTGCACCAACCTTGGGTGGTATCACCTGGTGGCACTACAGGACAGTTACCAGGTGGGTTCGGGGTGGGTACTGTCACCTCTACGACTTGTGATGGCACAACAGGTCCCATCCTCATCATCTGGGGTGTCTCATGAGAACCAGGGGAGGGTCAGGTTGGATTTCAGGAAAAGGTTCTTCCCCCAGAGGGTGGCTGAGCACTGAACAGGCTCCCCAGGGAATGGTCATGGCCTCAAGGCTGCCAGAGCTCCAGGAGCGTTTGGACAACACTCTCAGGGACAGGGGGGGATTGTTGGGGTGTCTTGGGCAGGAGCAGGGGGTAGACTGGATGATCCTTGGGGGTCCCTCCTGAGGACATCCCATGAGCTCAGGACTGGGAGCACACACCTGTGGCTGTGCTGTGGGGGTCTGGGAGCAGGACCCCGCTCTCCTCAAAGATCACGGCCCTGTAATGGCTCCACCTGGACCCGTGGCACCGGATCAGCCCCCGCAGGAGCTGCTGGATCCTGACACGGAGCAGGGCATGGGCAGAGCTCCTCAGGAACATCCTGAGACACAAGGGGCTCCAGGGAAACTCAGAGCTGGCCTGGTCAGAGGAGAGAGAACAGGGCACAAATAGACAATTAGAGGGGTGAAAGTTTATTCATGGAATCGTTAGGACTGGAAGAGACATTCAAAATAAGTCCAATCTCTGACCAAACCCCACCAGTCCCACTAATCCATATGGCAAATTGCCACCTCCACTCGTGTTTTGGACACTCCCAGGGATGGGGACTTGGGGACTCCACCCTGGGCAGCCACTGAGGTATTCATTAATCACGCACACTAATTGCTAATTAGCAATTGGAGCAGGTGGGGCTCCCAGGGAACAGGACAAAAGGAAGCTGTGCCAGAGGAGGTCCAGGTTGGACATCAGGTAGAATTTCCTCATGGAAAGGGTTGTCAGGCATTGGAAGGGGCTGCCCAGGGAGGTGGTGGAGCCCCCATCCCTGGAGGTGTCCAAGGAACGCCTGGACGTGGCACTCAGTGCTCCGGTGACAAGATGGTGCTGGGTCCCAGGTCGGCCTCGATGCTCCCGGAGCTCTTTCCCCCCCCAAATTCCCCGGAATTGCCCCCAGTCCCAGCCCCGCCGCCCCCCGGGCTCCCCCGTCTCGCGAGAACATACCCGCCTCTCGCGAGACCCCCCGCGGCCGCTCAGCCCCCGCTGTCGCTCCGCCGGTGCCGGCGCGGCCCCGCCGCCGTGACGTCACGGCGCGGTGACGTCACGCGGCGAGCGGCGCGGCGGAGGCGGAAGCGGCGGCGGCGCCGGTGCCGGGCCCATGAGCGTGTCCCTGGTGGTGATCCGCCTGGAGCTGGCCGGGGCCTCCCCGCTGCCCAAGGCCTTCGCCTACAGCGCGGCCGGTGCGTGCCCGCGGCCCCCGGGGCGCCGCCGCTACCGGGCTTCGCGCCACCGGCCCAGCCCAACGCCTGGTTTGTCCCCGCAGGTCCAGACATGGCAGCGGAGAGCACCGGCGCGGCCCCCGCCGCCGTGCCCGCCTGCCTGCAGGGGAAGGGCCCCGGGGAGCGCGCGGCCATCCTGCACCAACACCTGGGGCGGCGGGAGATGACCGACGTGATCATCGAGACCATCCGGCCCCGCGCAGGTACCGAGGGGCGCGGGCTGGGGCTGTCCCCGGGCTGTCCCGGGGCTGTCCCCGCTGCTGACACCGGCCAGGGGGTGTTGAGAGGGCTGCGGGGTTTGCGGGTCTGGAGCCGGCCCGGCAGTTTGGAAAACAAACAGAGGAGTTCAAGAATGTGCGTTGGGTGCGGGGGCAGAGCTGGTTGTTCCAGGCAAACACTTCCCACTGAGCTCATCCCGATCCACAACTTCCTCAGGAGGGGCAGCTCCCATCTCTGCTCGGTGTGAGCAGGAACAGGACCCAGGGAAGGGCTGGAGCTGTGTCAGGGGAGGTTTAGGTTGGATCTCAGGAAAAGGTTCTTCCCCCAGAGGGTGGTTGGCACTGAACAGGCTCCCCAGGGCAGTGGGCACAGCCCCAAGGCTGCCAGAGCTCCAGGAGTGTTTGGACAACGCTCTGAGGGACAGGGTGGGATTGTTGGGGTGTCCTGGGCAGAACCAGAAGTTGGACTGGATGATCCCTGTGGGTCCCCTCCAGCTCAGGATATTCCCTGATTCACTCCACAGAGGTTTAATTTCTTTCAGGCTGTGCCACAGCTGGCCTGTGTTTCACTCCCCAGCATCACTGGTCCGTAGCTATGAGACCATTTGCTCTGTAAATGTTTAATTTCCCTGGCAGGGAGGGATTTAAGGATGGAAACACCAAGTCTGACACACATCCAGGGTGCACAGCAGGAGCTCCCACTCCTCCCCTGCTCAGCAAACCTGCCCCAGTTGCTTTGTGCTCATACTGGTGTCTGTTGGGATGTCAGTGGGCATAGGACAAACCTCCTCCAGTTCAGTTCTGGGGCTCCCATGAGGTGTTTGTAGCTCTGCAATGTCCTGGGGGGCAGCAGGGATGAGGGGAATCTCGTCCTGCTGCTCCCCAGGGCTGTGATTTGTGTGAACACAGACTGTGCTCAGGGCACAGCAGCACCTCAGTAACCAGGAAACTCTTGGTTTGTGAAAGATGAAGCAAAAGCTGCCGTGGAAGGAAGGAAATCCTCAGAGGCTGCATTTGCTGAGGACAAAACCAAACAGGAGGATCAGAGCAAGGAGCGTGAGGCTGCTCCAGACTCCCCCTCCAAGCAGCTCCCTGACCAGATCTCCTTCTTCAGCGGGAACCCTTCGGTGGAAATCGTCCATGGAATTATGCACCTGTACAAAACAAAGTAAGGATGGATTCCTGGGAAGGGTGAGTCTGTCACCCCGAGGCTGTGGCTCCTGACAGGGATAAACAGGAAGGGTGACTCCTCCTGGGAGGGCACAGGGTGACTGAGGTTAATGGTGGAGCTTGGTGGACCTGTCAGAGCTGTGGGTGACATTGGGGGTGTTGAGAGCCTGTGCTGGGGACTGTAAGAGCATAAGACAAGCACAGATTCCAAAAAAAATGGCATTTGAAAGCAGCTTCCTGAGGGATCCCACAATTTAATCATGATCTCTGGGGCCTTGGTGACAGGCCTGAGGAGCTGCCTGAGGAGCAGGAGGTTTCATCCTGTACTTCAGGGGTTACAATTCCACACCATTCCCCTGTAATTGTGTGAGAACTCCCATTATAGGTCTTCCTGAAAGCCACCAGGAGCCCCCAAATGGGCACTGGAAATAGTAACAAACATTGCTCACTTGTTCTAGGAACAGTGATCCCAGCATCTTGGGCTGGGCAACTTCAGCTGCTTTTATAGAGAAACAGAAGTCCAATCATTCCTGGCAATCCCATTGCTGTTGGAGCTGCCCAGTTTAATCCTTGGCTGAAGGATGGCTGTGCCTGTTTCACGTGGGGGCACTGAGTGCTCACCACAACCCCTCTCAACATTTACAAAAGAGAGTTAAGGTTGATAACAGCTCCTGTAGTGACTGCAGCAGTTGGAATGGTGTGTCCAGCTGTGTGTCCAGCTGTGCCCTGCCCCCCCTGAGGTGCCCCTGTTGTGTCCCCAGCAAGATGACCTCCCTGAAGGAGGATGTGCAGCGCAGTGCCATGCTCTGCATCCTCACCGTCCCGGCCACCATGACCAGCCACGACCTCATGAAGTTTGTGGCCTCCTTCTACGAGGTGATTGAGCACATGAAAATCATCAGAGACTCCACCCCAAACCAGTACATGGTGCTGATCAAGTTCAGCTCACAGGTAAGAGCTGGGAGCCCCTTGGCTGGGGAGGTGGCTGTGCTGTCACTGCAGTTGCTGTTCAGGGGGGTTGTGTGGCTTCACTGGCCAGATGTCAGCCAGGATTGCACTCACCCCTGGGGAAACAGCCCTGTCCCCCTTCCCTGAGAATTCCTGGGGCTGCTGAGGTCAGTCCCACACCTGGAGGAGAGTACCTGCCCTGTTCTAGCTGTGATTTTTCTTGGTTTAGTTCTTGCTTTGTCTTTGCAGGATATTTTATAAAAAACAGTCCAGACACAGAGTTCTCTGCTATCTCACAACTTATTCAGAGTGCTGTGTTGTGCTGTGCCGAACAGAAAGGACCCAGCCACTGGGGCTCCCTGTGTTTTAGCAAAGACCTTTCCTGCTTTTCTGAGGAGCTGGGTGGTCTCACAGCTACTGCTAGTGTGGAGAGGACAGTCACCCCCAGACTGAGAGCCCCAGGGGTGCTTTGATACCCAGATAACACTGTTTGCTGCTTACAGGTCTCCTGGGAACTGAATCCTGGCTTTAAATTCCCCCCTCCAGTTCCTGTGTGGACCCTTCCACTTGTACATTCTCTTCTACCAAATGCTAATTTCATATTTTGGGGTTCAGGGAGAGGTTTCCCCCATCTGTGGATGCTTCCTGACATGCTTCCCATGCCCCTTGTGCACACGGAATATTTGTGTGAGTTTTGTGCTGATTGAAGTAGTTACAAAGTTTATTTTTGTCTCTTGCTCTACCAAATTACACAGGCAAATATCTAATGCTGTAAATCCCTAAACTTGTGCTCAATTCACCCTAAAATTCCTGTTTCTGAGGAAATTCCTTGGAGCTCTGTTGACCCCTAATGGCCGTGCCTGCAGGTGACAAAACGAATCTCCAGGGCATTGATGCTGCTGGCTGGAATGACCGGGAATTTGGGAATGTGGCATTCAGCTCATTGCCTCCAATCTTGTGTTGAGAAAGGGTTTGGGGAGTTACTGAGTGAAAAGGGATGATGGATTTGATGGAGTTTGGTTTGGTTCTGCCTCTTTTGCCTGGATTGTGGGTGGTGAAATGGACTCTTTCCCACAGTTAAACTGTTGCTCCTTTTCCTGTCATCACTGTCCCGCACCGTGTCCCTCTTAAATTTTTGCAGAGACCAAATCTGCTTTACAAATGCCCTGAAATTGCTGACAAGGGGCAAAACAGATGCTGAAGGGAAATCCCTCATTCCTGCTGAATGATCCAATATCAGCATAGCTGTCACTGCCCTGGACTTCATTTTGTGTCTTCCAGTGATGATGCCAAAATGCAATGCCTGGAGCTGAAATCCCTCCCCCGCTGTTACAGGGCTGGGGGAGGGGAGAAAGGAGGATACAGGAGGTTCCTCCTCCTCTTCCTGGGTTGTGTGAGCTGTGAGTTTTCCCTTTTTAACTGGTTTCCCCTGCTCTGTGCCCAGGCTGATGCCGACAGCTTCTACATGGCCTGCAACGGCCGCCAGTTCAACTCCATCGAGGAGGATGTTTGCCAGCTGGTGTACGTGGAAAGGGCTGAAGTCTTCAAATCAGAAGATGTAAGTTTGGTCTGTTTTTTTCCCTGCACTTCAGATGATTTTAAGAGGGTGATTTGGACTGGGCAGAACACTGCAAGAACAGCTCAACTGCATCAACCCAAACCCTGCTTCCCGTTCCAGTGTCCTTGGGACAGTTTTTGTGGTGACTCTGTGGGTTTTATGCCTTGTCTCTGACCTCAACCTGCCTTGTGTTTTCATTTAGTGAACCCCCAGAGCACAATGGGGCTGGTGGCACATGCAGCACCTTCACTGAGCCCATGCTGTGCAGAGGAACCCGGCTGTGGGCTATTGAATGTTGGGGATCACTTTATTTCAAATAAATTTTCACCCACTGTGTGTCGTGTTTCTGATCCCTGGTGCCAGCAAGAGAGAAGTTGGGCTTAGTTGCTGATGCTTGGCAGGTGCTGAGCAGTCTGTTGTTGCCTTGCAGGGGGCCAGCCTGCCCGTGATGGACCTCACAGAGCTGCCCAAGTGCACCGTGTGCCTGGAGAGGATGGACGAGTCCGTGAACGGGATCCTGACCACGCTGTGCAACCACAGCTTCCACAGCCAGTGTCTGCAGCGCTGGGAGGACACCACGTAAGGGGCTTTGCTTCGTTCCCACACCCAAACTCTGCTCTGAGTGTGGTGGGTTTGTGCTGACAAGGCACTGCTCATCATTGGGGGCAGGAATTACTGCAAGGCCTGATGCTCTTGTTTTCCCATTAAGAGACTCCCAGAGAGGAATCTCCTTGCCAAAAGTAATTGAACAATGATTCCCAGGGGCCTCACTGCTGAGGCAGGGAGGGAGTTGTAGAGTAATGCTGATTATTTCAAAATACAGGCTAAAAGTGCTGGGGTAAACAGCACTGAGTGCACACACAGCCCTCTTCACTCAGCCTTGTCAGTTCAGTTATCCCTAAAAAA